GCTTCAAAGATTTTGGATATGTTTCCAAACATTGTCAATTGACACTATTAAAAAAAAGGGGCTAAGGCCTTAGCCATAGTTTGCCTAACCACGACGAACCAACAGTGGCCATTGATGTGTTTGTGGCTCGGGGGATCATCGCCTATAGGAGTCACATTAGAAGGAGTAGTTGACTCATCAGCAGGGGCAGGGGAAGAAAGAGCCCCTTTCATTGAGGAATTTCCCTTTAGGGTTCAAATACCCCTAAATAAGGGTAACTGTCAGCGGGTTCGGATAGTAACAAACAAGATGGATCAAATACCCCAGGCATAATCTTTCCCAATCTATGTGTTTCTATTTTGATTAATAACGTTAATCTATGTTTTGTATGTTATGCTTTAATTACTGGTTGGTCCTCGACTATAATAATTCCCTTGCGTCCAAAATGTGCATGCTGCTGCTTAATACCACGAATATTTGGCAAAAACACAATGTTATAACGGAATTCAAAAGTAAGAAAGGTCATAAATGTAACAAGTCCAACTTAAAGATCAATGGTCCATACTCTCCAAAGAGATAAGCCAAACTTGGCCGATAGATATTAGATATGCCCACTGCAGTTTTTTAGCATAGTGAGTTCGTCTCCTTACATTTAAGTTCGAGTCATTTTTCTTTATAATTTAAATTAATTTAAAATTAATTAATTCGCTTATTTTTTTTTCAACATTAATTAATTTATAGTTTAATTACAATCATCCAGTTGGATAATTGATGTTATCAACTTAACATCGACCAACAAATTAAAGTGGAGTGATATGCTTGTAGATGTTATATGACAAGACCCGTCCCGAATTTCCTCGGAATCTGGGACAGACCCCGCCTAATTACCGACATCAACCCAATGCCGGGCCCACTTACTAAAGACTGAGACTTCCTACCAAAAATTTGGCAAAATCTCCCCTGTAAATTGAACATTTCCAAACTTCAATCTGTTCAAAATTTACAGTTAATTACAACCAACTGGCAGCATGCTTTACAAGCAATAAAACAATTTACAACAAAGGCCTCCGGCCTCACAAAGTTAACCCTCAGCGGGCGATACAAAGCATATCTAAGGAATTCAAAATACAACCGAAGTACCGTTTAACTGAAAGGAAAAAGCACCGAGAGTCTCTACGAAGACTCGAGTTCCAAGATGCACCCGGTCCAGCTCAACTGCAGAGCTCAGTCGCTACTGGCTGGGGGCGCAAAACAAAAAGTTGTGAGTGGACAAAAATCAAGTTCAGTTCAAGCGAAAACAAAGTAGTATAACCCCCACCTTTATCAAAAACATGCAATGAAACCATAAGCATAACAAAACCATCAGAAACAGTATATAAACATATACTAACGCATATATATACCGGATCTCAAATCCGTAATCCGTGAATAATGCTTCACGAAACCCACCACTCAACTTAAGAGTCCAGAGAGATTAGACTCTCGTAAACGTACTCAAAGGTACGACCGGCGAGGAAGTATCCTGACCGAAAAATAGAACGAAGGAACATTCATATATATATATATATATATATACATATACAACTACATACATAATAATAATATGATATAACATAATAATAATAATAATAATAATAATAGTATATAAAGATAACCAATATTTAATTGTACCGGGGAAACAATCCAACCGGGGGACTGTTTGACTAGTCCACATGGCAGAGCCATTCCTCAATTCACCATGTGTCTAGGGAACGAGCCGTCCAACTGGGGGACTAACTCCAGCCAGCACGTACAGCCGACACAGTCAAAGCTTGTACGCCTGAAATACCAGTCCTACGCGCGCAGACTACCCCAAATCCAGGGTCCACAGCAACATCCCCTCAAGGATGTCCTGAGTTCTAATAACTCCAAAAGTATCCAATATTCGTAACCAAATTCAGATCAGGGGAGGTACATAAATTAGTGCTTAACGCACTCCAAATAACAGATCCAACATTACCTTTCCATAGTTCATATTAACCACCAAGTACCCCATGCATAGCCGCATGTAAATATAGCTTCTCAAAATTCAAATATCATAATAAGTTTTATGAAAACCTCGAATTCTCATTCGAGCGTAAATAAATAATTAATAGACATAATAAAACAATATGCCATATTTCCATGAATAAAATCATACTGAGTTTCAAAAGAAAAGTCCACTCACAAGTAGTCCCACACAGCTTGACCCTTAGAGGGTCCCGCCTGCTGCGTATGCTGGGTCGGAGTACCTGATTCAGAATACGAAAATGCGATGAATATCAAGCGCTTCAAAACAGAACTTTAAAATAAAACCCTAGCTTCCTGGGAGTTCCTATAGGTTTTACGAGGTCTAGGATACACGTCCTGTAAGTTTGGTCCGAAACGGACGGTTAGATCGCTCACGATTGCACGATTGGACGGTTATTGAAACCCTCACCCTAGGGTTGGCATTTCCGGAGTATCCGGGACTCCGTTTTACGATCCGTCGAATCCTACACGATCCTACGGGTATCCAGAGGAACATACTTCAATTTGAAAACGATCCAATGGTCAGAACATATCGAACCCGAATAACGCACAATATGCGATAATCCGCTCGATAGTCAAACGACCTCGGAATCGAGATCCGCGAAATCCTACGCGCTCGTGACAACTTAAAGATCACATTGGAACAGTTTGCAGCTCCACCACACTTGCCCACGCGCCGCCACACGCGCCGGCAGCAAGCGGGTGTGCAGAGAAATTCCGGCGACGGAAAATCTCCAAATCACAAGTCACCCTCCCGGCTACAGGTCCTACTCAACTAGGGGAGCACTTCATTCAACTACGGCCAAGCCCAAAACCACCGGGAACTGGCCGGAATTTCGAATTGAAAACCGGCCAAAAACCTAATTCAAAATCACTTCCAAAACCTCAAAATCGTTTCCATCCTAGGCAACAGGCAGTTAGAACAGATAAAAAGAATGAGAAAACTCACCTTTAACACCGGAAAAGGACGATTGAAGCGGTGGTGCAACGATCGGAAAACCTCCGATTCGAACCAGTCGCAACTGTCGGCGGTTCTCGAGCTTTACGGTTGGAATTTTGGGTGGGTCAGCTCCAGGACTTCACTACGAGTCGAACGAAACCGGTCTCGAGGGCTGGGGTGGGCGGATGTGGTGGCGGCGTGGATATTTCCGCTCGGGTGAACAGTGACGAGAGAGAGTTCGCGGGAGAGAGAGAGAATTCGCGGGAGAGAGAGAAAGAAAGAATGAAATGAAATTGAAGAATCTGATTTTTTACAAATACCCTTTTCGAATTATTTACGATTTTGCCACCGAAAGAAATTTCATCTCCAAAACGTCGTTATAACTCCGATTCAAGCCTACCGCCAATCTACGAATTCATCTCAGAACCACCTACGCAACCAAACCACTTGTGGTCCCAAAATCCTTCCGGACAAGAAAATAACCAAAATACCCTACCCCAAGGGTAGTTTCGTAATTTCACAGTTAATTTAATTTTAACCTTTTGAATTAGAAAATTAAATAGAGTCGGGGTGTTACATTATATGACAAACACCTCTAAGTGGAGTCAACGCTTGGGCCCACGTCACATGTTGATGGTATTTTTTGTTTTGTTTTTTTTGTTTATTATTCTACTTTCTGCTTAACACCTCTAAATAATCCCTAAACAGTTAAGTAAGCAGCTTGTAACTGAAATAATTAAGAGCAATTATTCATGCACCCGAGGTCTTAGGTTTGATTTCTCCTTATGTACTTTTTCTATGTTATCAATAAAATTACTATCGCTTTTAATATATAAAAAATCCTCAAATTTTTTTTTTAAAAAAAAAGATAAACAGTAATCTTTCTCTCATAATATATATATCTTTAACGCTGAGCTCAGTTTTGCAACCAACCACATTTGTCTTCAACTATCTTAATTTGATTTGATTTGTCTTCAACCAACCAACCACATTTGTCTTCAACTATATCATTAAACATAAGTTTCATGGATCGTGTGGTATCCCTCTCAAGTATTAAATTAATATGGGACCAAGGTTGTGATAATTTGAAAAGAGGGCGTATCATTGTCAACCACCACCAGCACGTTTTACGAGGAGGAGGATCATTTTAGGAATCGAAGCTTGGAAAAAGACTGAAAAGGATGTTGGATTATTAAAAGGCTTTTTTCTTTTTTCTATTGCAATACATTAAATATTTGTCGGGTCCAAAGTTCGGCGAAGCCAGAACTTTCTTGTTCAAAGTTTGGCTTCATGTGAGCGTCCTCTCCTCTGGTGTGAAAAACTGAGAATGCCGACATACTGCTAGCATTTTCATATATATATATGACATTGACAATCAAAATTAAAATGTGAACGTTATAGAATTTGCAAATGTTAGAATCAATAATAAGAACTTAATCTTTTTGTTTTTCTTTTTAATAAAAGCGATGTTAGAGAAGGAGAAAATCAAACTTACGACCTCGAATGTAAAGATAAATGATCTTAATTACTTGAGCTATACAAACCCCGTGCATAGTAAAAACAAAAATACAAATGGTCAAACTCTACACTGAGATTACTACCACAAAAATGCAACACATGAAAAAGAAAAGGAAAAAGAAAAAGTTGTGTACAAGTCAAAGAAAGATGATAAAGAAGAAGGACAAGTGGTCAAATAGATAAACTAATCTAGTCATCGTACTCGTTAGGTCATTGTCATTAATTAATAATCACTCAAATAATCTGAACTGGAAGAAGATAAAAATAATATTTAGTAACTCCTTATATGATAATAATAATAATAATATAATAAACTAATTACACCACCATAGCTAGCGAGCAGCAATACCACTAATTCAAACCTGAGGGCCCACAGTTCATCCATTATTTCAGGCAAAGAAAGGTTCACCCCTTTTATAATAAGAGCTTGATGAGATGATAATTAAGTAACAGAAAACTCATACATCATATTCTGAGTGTAGAAAAACAAATTTACATGAATTGATACAAGTAGCTAAACATCAAGCCACTGATCACACTCTTTGTTCAACTTCTGTGCTCTAATTCTGAATTGGGGTCCTCTGAAATCGTTGGCCTCTGAATCAAGAACGATCTTGTCCCCAACTTTGAGCCCTTTGTGGTTGACAAACTTGAGCCATCCCTCAGACTGAAGAACCAGCTTCCGGTACCGTCCCACCCTTCGAATGGAGCAGCAAAATTCCCCAAAAAACCCGAACCCGTCTGTAACCTGCAAATGGACCTCATGGCTTCCTTGTTCAATTCGAGGCAGCAGCACACTAAGCCAGGAAATCGGAAGGGTAATTAATCTGTTCTCTATATCTGCTTCTGTAAGCCATTTCTCAAAGCGAGCCGCCATTGCTTTATTGATGAATCGGCTCCCTGTAATTCTAGTGCATTTATATAGGAGGAGGACTGGAGAAGGACAGGGCCAGGGGTATATAAGGAAATATATATTTAAATTATAATCTGTCATTGAAAGTGGATCAATCTGCGTGTCAACATCTGTCACGATAATGCTTTATGATTTTAGTTTTGTCGTTTAATTGTGGTATACTTGTCGAAGTTGACCTAGCAGATACCAAGTGACGTGGAGAAGTGCTTCGCCACAACACAGATTTTAATCCCTTGTAAATAATAATCATGTTTAACAGAAAATTAGGACAAACATAATTCGTATACGTGTTATAAATGGATGGACACATAACTATGATGCTGTGGAAATTCAAATTTGAGACTTCTAGTTTGCAAATCAATGCTACATTCGCATACGTGGTATCTTGGGCATACCATATGACAACAAAAACTCTTTAGAAAACTTTGCAGACAAACATTATATGTTCTGCACGCGTTGACATAAAAAGGTTAAGCCATGGTTTGATTATTTCAGCGCTTTGGCCCCACACCACGTGAACATGATATTTTTCCCTCAATAATTTGTTTCATAATTAACTTTTATTAACTTTTAAAATGGAAAAATAATATACCAGAAAGATTTATACCGACGACGTATCTGAGCTTCCAAGATTTTGGTTGTGAAAGAAGCATTAGGCAAAGTGAAGCACATATGAGGATGTTGGATTATTAAGAAGATTTGCATGATTGTTCATTTTTAAACTTTAGCCACTGTCAGAAATTCTAGAAATTTTGAAGGAGAATTGACCAAAACTTTAATTATTAGCTAGCTTTTCTCCCAAGTAGAAAGATAAGGTTGATGGTCGGCAGGACAAATGTAAGACCCTTACAAGTTGGCATAGCTCATATCACTTGTATATATAAAAAAAATTCCTCAAATTTTATAATTTGAAAAAAAAAGAAAAAAGAAAAAGAAAAAGATAAACAGTAATCTTTCTCTCAGAATATATCTTTAATGATGAGCTCAGTTTTGCAACCAACCACATTTGTCTTCAACTATCTTAATTTGATTTGTGAAGAATGTAATTATATCATTAAACAAAATATTAAACATAAGTTTCATGGATCGTGTGGTACCCCTCTCAAGTATTAAATTAATATGGGACCAAGGTTGTGATAGAAACATTTGAAAAGAGGGCGTATCATTGTCATCCACCACTACCACGTTTTACGAGGAGGAAGAGCATTTTGGGTATCGAAGCTTCGAAAAAGACTTAAAAGGATGTTGGATTATTAAAAGGCTTTTTTCTATTTTACATTTTAATATGCAATAAATCAATATTTGTCGGGTCCAAAGTTGGGTGACATTGACAATCAAAATTAAAATTGTTTATTGTCACACTCAATCTATGTGGGTTTTTTTATTATTTTTTATAGAGAACTTAATATGTGAACGTTATAGAATTTGCAAATGTCAGAATCTATGGTAAGAACTTAATCTTTTGTTTTTATTTTATAAAAAGAAGCGATGTTAGAAAAGGAGAAAAACCTACAACTTCATATGTAAGGGTAAATATTCTTAATTATTTGAGCTATACAAATAGTTGCAAGGATAAATATTCTTATGATAAGAACAAAAAGCGCTGAGATGACCACCAAAAAAATACAAGACATGAAAAAGAAAAAGAAAAAGAAAAAATTGTGTACAAGTCAAAGAAAGATGAAGAAGAAGAAGAAGGGCAAGTGGTCAAATAGATAAACTAATATAGTCATCATACTCGTTAGGTCATTGTCATTAATTAATAATAAGCACTCAAATAATCTGAACTGGAAGAAGATAAAAATAATATTAATAAACTAATTACACCACCATAGGTACTAGGTAGCCAGCAGCACTACTACTAATTCAAACCTCAGGGCCCACATATGACATATACATTTTTGTGGTTGAATTTTCTTTGGGTTGGAATTTAGAGGAAATTAAGCTTCTAATAAGGGCTTAATTTCAAAGCGAAAGATACCATAAAGAACACTCGAGATCATAATTAAGTAATTAATTAAAACAGAAAACTCATCATTAATTCACTCATACATCATATTCTGAGTGTAGAAAAACTTTACATGAACTCATACAAGTAGCTAAACATCAAGCCACTGATCACACCCTTTGTTCAACTTTTGTGCTCTAATTCTGAATTGGGTTCCTCTGAATTCGTTGGCCTCTGAATCAAGAACGATCTTGTCCCCAACTTTGAGACCTTTGAAGTTGACAAACTTGAGCCATCCCTCCGACTGAAGAACCGGCTTCTGGTACCGTCCCACCCTTCGAATGGAGCAGCAAAATTCCCAAAAAAACCCGACCCCGTCTGTAACCTGAATATTGACCCCATGGCTTCCTTGTTCAATTCGAGGCAGCACCCTAAGCCAGGAACTCGGAACGACAAATCTGCTCACTACATCTGTTTTTGTAAGGAATTTCTCAAAGGGGGCCGCCATTGCTTTATTGAATATGAATCTGCGTACTTCTAGTGCATTTATATAAGAGGACGACAGGGCCAGGGGTATATAAGTAAATATATAATCTGTCACTGAACGTGGATCTATCTGCATGTCAACATCTGAATGATAGAATTATAAGCTATCAATGAGAATCTTCTTTCATGATAGAATTATAAACTCTTTTGAAAACTTGGCAGACAAACATTATATATTCTGCATGCGTTGACAGAAAAGGTTAAAGTCGTACGGTTTGATTATTTAGAAAGAAAGTAAGCAGGAGTTAAGAGATTGACAGTTTTGGCCCCACACCACTCGAACATGATATTTTTCCCTCAATAATTTGTTTCACCTGATTGGCTAAGCTATATATAATTAACTTTTCTGAACCGGAAACTGAAAGAAAAGTGAAGGAAAAGTTGTTGAGCTTTACAAATGGAAAAATAATCCACCACCGACGACGTATCTGAGCTTCCAAGATTTTGGTTGTGAAAGAAGCACTGGGCAAAGTGAAGCACATCTGAGGACGTTGGATTAGTAAGAAGATTTGCATGATTTTTTCTTTTTTCTTTTTTAAACTTTAGCCACTGTCAGAAATTTGAGTGATGTCAAATCTAAAAGCGTATTGGCCTTTTCTTTTTCTTTTTATAATCCAACATCACTGGCCCTTAGGTTGCAGTTGCAGACAGGGGGCCTACTGCTTCTATATGTGGTTCAACTTATATTAAGCTTTTCAAGTTGTAAATTTGCAATTGCCTACCTCTATCTATACATATAATTGACTCCTCTCTCTCTCTCTCTCTCTCTCTCTCTCTCTCTCTCTCTCTCTCTCTCTCTCTCTCTATATATATATATATATATATATATGCTACATACATGGAAAAAGTGACCAAAATATGATAGAGAAAAAAAAAGAAGAAGAAGAAGAAGAGAGAATTAAGGATAAGTTTGAGGCTACAATTTAACAATAAAATAATAAAATGGTTAAGAAATATTTGAAAAAGTGCACATCCCACTCCAATTTTCTTTTGGTTAAAGATGACAAGAAGAAAGAAAACAACAAATAAATGGAAGTTTATTAGTCAAAAAAAAAAAGAGCGAAAAGGTAAGTAAGGAGTGAGGTAGTAAGGTGGGTGCTGACACCTCACTCCTCCATTATTGTGACCTTTTTTAGTGCTTAAACATTTGACGGTGGTGCAAACTGCTATGAAGATTATGTGGGGTCCCATATAACCACCGGTCACCTGCTACTTTCTTTCTCCCAAATGTGCGGCTGTATTTATTTTCAATGTTTAATAAATTAAAATAACTTTTTATAGGTAAATTAAAATAATAAAGTTGAACAACATTATTTATTTTTGGGAGAAAAATAACATAAAATTGACAGGGATATAATTTTCGGTTATTGGCATCTGGTCATAATGATGGCTAGATTCAATTCAAATGGTTGCTGGAATTCTAGAAACTTTGAAGGAGAATTGACCAAAACTTGAGTTATTAGGTAGCTTTTTCTCCCAAGCAGAAAGATAAGGTTGATGGTCGGCAGGAGAAACACAATGTGTTCATTTTCTACATCTATAATTCATGATCAATGCTTATTCATACATGATGACAATGTATATTGCTGCCGTACCTTACTTTACTAGTTTGATTTGGACCACTACATCACTCATCAGTTCAATACATTTAAAGCCTTTAGAGTGAAAGATATGTGCATATGTGTGTCTCGTTTGACTACTAATATTTTTGTGATACAATATCAATGTAGGACCAATTAGTTCATTGGTTAAGCAATACGAGTGGCTCAATGCGTCTAACAATCTCAGTTTTATTTGCATAAGTTAATTAGGTCTCGATTGGTGACCTCAATGACACTTTGATAGTGCGTGTGTATGAGAGAAATTTCTCTCTCTCGTGTAGTTTAGACTATCTCTTTTTGTATTGAAGATAAGTTTATTGCCACGTCATCACTCCAAATTATTTAATGAATATAGTTAATCATTGTACTATTTTAATAATGTTATATATTCTAAACCTTAAAACATGTATTAATTTAATGAATACAGCCGAAAGTTGGGAAGAAAACAAAGCGCAGTGAATGGCAGTTTGGGCCCATCAACTCTCAATCATGAATGACGTGTTTCTTTACATGCGCTGACAAAAATACAAAACGGTCATTCTGCTGATGGAGGAGTGAGGTGTGAAGACCCACGTCACTACCTCAGTCGTCAGCTTTTTGCTCAAGTTTCCTCCTTTTTTGGCTCAATTTTCTTAGGCAACTTTACTTTCTTGTTTTTTTCATTGGTCCAAAAAAATTGATGAAATAACTAAACATTTATAGTCATATGTAGTGATCATCAATAATTTTATAGGATATTTGGCATACAAGATTTTAATCGATTTTCTATATAGTATTTCTACAGAAATTCTAATCAAACTAACTAACAAAAAAAAAAAAAAAAAAAATCTTTTGTTAAATACTTGTATTTGGTTTGACAATTTTAGCTC